AAGATGGAGGTCCTGAGGGTGGGTGGCCCCACCATTGGCAGTTTGGGAAGCTCCCCCTCTTTTGGGGGGGGTTGACTCTCACCGCGAAGAGTGAGGTTCGCAGCTTGGGGATCCATCTGGACCCGGTGCTCACCATGGACACTCAGGTGGCATCAGTGGTCCGCTCCGCCTATTTCCATCTTCGGTGGATTGCCTAGCTACGTCCCTATCTTGATGGCGGGGCCCTCACCACTTTTGTGCACATGCTTGTAATCTTGAGATCAGAGCACTGTAATGCGCTCTGGGTGGGTCTACCTTTGAGACTGATGCAGAAGCTTCAAGTGGTGCAGAATGTGGCAGCCAGACTCCCTAGTGGTGTGAGAAAACATCATCATATCTCTCCCATTCTGGCCAATTTGCACTGGTTGATCATGCGCTTCTGCGTCGATTTCAAAGTTTTAATGATTACATACAAAGCTCTAAACGGTTTGGGACCTCGCTATCTGATGGAATGCCTTCTCCCACCAAAATCTGCCTGTATCACTTGATCTAGCCAGGAGGTATGACTGAGGAGCCCAGAGAGATCCAGAAGGAAAAAACAAGAAACTGGGCCTTCTCGGCAGTGGCTCCTCAATTAGGCAGTGGCTCCTCGGTTATGGAATAATCTGCTTCCAGAGATTCGCTTGGCCCCTTCGCTGGGTGCTTTTAAAAGCCAATTAAAAACCTGGCTATTCAGGCAGGCCTTCCCTCCGGGCACTATTTGATCAATTTTCTTTGTTTATTTCCATCTTGAATGATTAATTATTTTTGGATATTGATGTTATTTTAATCTATTTATTTTGCTTGATGTACACCGCCCGGAGTAGCTGAATGACTAGATGGGCAGGATATAAATATAATTAATAAATAAATATATGGAGTGTAATTAGACAAATATATGGTAGCACTTAAAAAACTTACATTTTTAAAAAAACTAAAACTCACTTTTCAATAAATTGTACAATAGCTGTACGCTTGAATATCTGCTTTGAGGACAACATAATGCCGATGTGGCCCAAGAAGAAACTGAGTATGACACAATTCTGTGATAGCACTCTTCAAAGACTTGAAAGGCTATCCTACAGAGGAGGGGCAGGATCCGTTCCCTGTCATCTCAGAGTACAGGACAGGCAACCATGGGCTCAAGCTACAGGTATCCAGATTTTGGTTTAACATCAGGGAAAACTTCCTGTTTAGGAAAAACTTCAGTTAGGAAAAACTGTTAGAGCCGTACGACAGTGGAACCAGTCACCTTAGGAGTTGGAGAGTGCTTCACTTTTCTATGATTCTATGATCTACTAGGTTCCATATAAAAAAAACATAAAAATCCAAAAGTATTTAAAATACGTCACCTTTAAAAAGTTGGTTTAAAACCATCTTTACAGCTATTAACATGCCTTCTTCGGGGGGGGGGCGGAATCTGAAAAGAGGTTCGTGGAAGAAGATCTTCTCCTTCGGGACTGCTAAATTTTTTTGCCTGTGGGTGGATCCCACGTGGTCTACCAGAGTGTTACATTCCTTGTAGGGGTAATTTTGCTTCAGGTTTCCACATCCACACATGCTTCTAGACGCACATATGAATGGATGCAAATATCTGTGGGCTTTGTGGGCGGTCCCTTATGTTCCCAGTTTCTGACAGGCATGGCGCAAGGAGAGGAGCCATTGCTGGAAGAAGAGGAGGACACTGAGGTGGAGGAGGAGGAGGAGGAGGAGGAAGAGGAAGAAGAGGAGGAGGAGGAAGAGGAGGAGGAGGAAGAGGAGGAGGAGGAGGAAGAGGAGGAGGACGAGGTGGAGGAGGAGGAAGAGGACGAGGTGATGGCGGTGGAAGAAGGGACTAGTAGGACGGCCACCTTTGAACTCATGCCAGAAATCTATGTGGGACAAGAAGAAGAACCTGCACACAGAACTGGGACAACAGGCAGTAAGTGTGAACGGTCCAGAAACAGGATCTGCTGGCCTTTGGAAACTGAGTCTTGTCCACTTCATGAACTTCCTGAACTTCATGGTAAATCTTTGTCTAAAACAGGAGACAGGGGAGAATCCCCACACCCATCCACTTCTACAGCCACAAGAGGTGCCGTCCCAGGTGGGTCTGGGACGTGGAGCCTAAGATCCCGTGAAGTCAACGCTACGTCTCTTCTGGGGAAACAGCCCTTGAAAGGTAAGGACAAAAACGGGGCTTGTTCCGTGTTGTGGAAGCACAACATACTAGATGTTTGCATTTGGTGGTGAGCCGAGAGGCTGAGGTCTTCTTCAGGAGCCCTTGAAGAGCTTCTGCCAGAATCGGGATTAGGTGGATGGGACAGCTTGTGTGGAATCTGTCAGCAAAGAAGACCGTCATCTTCAGGGGGTGCACCGCTTGCCATGGGCGAACACATTTCTGGGGAGCCTGTTGTCGCTTAGTCGTTTAGTCGTGTCCAACTCTTCGTGACCCCATGGACCAGAGCACGCCAGGCCCTCCTGTCTTCCACTGCCTCCCGGAGTTGGGTCAAATTCATGTTGGTTGATTCAGTGACACTGTCCAACCATCTCATTCTCTATCGTCCCCTTCTCCTCTTGCCTTCACACTTTCCCAACATCGGGGGCTTTTCCAGAGAGTCTTCTCTTCTCGTGAGATGGCCAAAGTCTTGGAGCCTCAGTTTCAGGATCTGTCCTTCCACTGAGCACTCAGGGTTGATTTCCTTCAGAACGGATAGGTTTGTTCTCCTTGCAGTCCAGGGGTGTCTCAAGAGCCTCCTCCAGCACCAGAATTGGGAAAGCATCAATTCTTCGGCGGTCAGCCTTCTTTATGGTCCAGCTCTCACTTCCATACATTGCTACTGGAAAAACCATAGCTTTGACTACAGACGGACTTTCCTTGTCTCTTGACAGGAAACAGTCGCCAAGGGAAAGCAACCACCACCTTTGCAAGAACAGGACAAAATGGGCCCGGGGCCGTGCAAACAGCATCCATTGAAGCAGGAAGGCGAGCCGCTTCATTGGAGGATGTGATGGGCCAGCTGGAGGTTCTAACCGAAGTTATCCAGTCTGCTGGTGAGTAACACAAGGGCTCCTTCCCTGGTGTTTCTGGCTGCATCCAAGATCATGGTCATGACAAGGCTTGTTGAAGGTCCACCCGTCATCTAAGCTCTCATGTCACAAAGTTTCCCCGGCAGATCATGGGGGGCTGCTCCTCTGTGGCCTATGTTCCCACCTTCTGAGGAAGACTTTTTCTTGCACATGATCCTGGCAAGGGCCAGTTGATGACTCTGATATGGGAGGTGCGGGGAATCCACCTGGGGTTTTAGCTCACCCTTGACAAGAACTATTTTTACGTGCTGAACATTCTTGCCAAGAGAACTCC